CTCAGAAATCGGACAAGACTACTTTTCAATCCGTACTGCCAGTGCACTGGACATATATGAACAGGCACCTTAGGAAGCAATGTTGTTTCACATGTCAAACCTCATCCAATCCGCATATAAGTGAACCAGCTCTAAAAACAGACATGTCTGTATTACAAAAAAACAAAAAAGTACTTAAAATTGTAGCTAAAAGCTAAACTTTTATGCTAGTTTCTGATAAAGTGGAGAGGGATTAGGACCCCTGAAGAGGGATTAGAAGCCTTTTCAAGTTTTTATTGCCATCTGTGTTCCCATTCAGGAGATTCACCCTCTCTATTTGTCACATTTACCATCATCATTGAATGTGAAAGTTTAGGAAAATCCCAGATTTTGGGTTCTCCCCAGAACAGGAATAGAGTGGAAGTCTACCAATGGGGATGCTAGATTTTGCGACACTGGTGACAACTAGGAGGGATTTATTCTCCCTTCCGGTTTTGGCTATGGGACATGACATGAACGGAAATCTCCCCAATGAGACACAGATGGGAAAGAAAAAAAAAAAAAAAATCAGAAACCCTCCCTTACTCTATTCAAAACTAAAAATAAAGTTTTGCCTTTAGTTCTGCTTTAAACGTATAAAGCTTAGTACAGCCCCTCTCAACCAGGGTTCCTCCAGAGGTTGCAAGGGGTTCCCTGAGCAATTTCTACCTCTGTAACGGCTGATACCAATGAACATTTTAGCTATCTGTTACAGGGGATTCCTTCCACTGACCGCAAATGTAAGAAGTATTCTTTCCACTGACCATCATGGTAATATACAATAAACTGAGGCTATAGTAATTATAAGCAGGGGCTCCCCGAGACCAAAAATTGAGAAAGTCTGGCTTAGTGTAATAGCTCTTGCCAAAATTTTCCATTTACAGAGTAAAGGAAGAAATGTTTCATTTTATGAATTGTACATGTAAATGGTAGATATAGGTTACAACTAGAATTGTAGTTTTACTGGCAGAGCTTTCAAAAGAAGTCTGCTTAAGTCTTCGGTCACACCAAATGTCAGTGCAACTTCAGGAGTGACTTGGAAGACATCTGTACTTCTTCATGCACAGATGTCTATGCAAGTTGGATCTGAACTTGCAAAAAGTAATACATGTAGTACTTTCAAAATTGGTCGACTCCAACGGAGTCGGAATCGCATTGATATGATCACTTCCATTGCAGACAATAGGGTGCGACTTTGCATGTGATTTGAAACTATTAAATCGCATGCCAAGTCGCACCGGTGTGACTTATAGAGTACCTGCAGGATACAGTTTTTCTTTAATGGTCCTGAATTTTATTTTCCAGTTTAATCATCTATTAAAGTACATGTAAATCTAAAAAACATTTTAGTTTTGATTTTGGATAGAGTAGGGATAGAGTGGTCAGTTTTCTTGTTTTTGTTTTCTTTTTTTTTGCCATCTGTTTTAAATTCAAGAGATTTCTCTTCACTTCTTGCCCTGTACACACGTCACGCAATGCATGTTATTATGTGCATAACGTGTGGAAGGTAAATGCACACTGATGTGCCCTGCAGTGCTTGTTAAAATGCATTACAGAGCTTGCATGTTTTTCTTTTTAACTGCTATGTAACTTTGTCCTGCAGCGTGTTGCACAGCACGTTGATACAAGCTGCACTGTGCACAAATTCAACTCTACTGGTGTGAAAAACGTTAAAAACTAACACTAAACTATAACCTTGTTCTTCAAAAATAATCCATACCCTTCCACTACTTAATGGCCCTGTAATCTATTTTTTATTTTGTGTTTTTGTGCCTCCTCTGAAATCTCCAATGAGCTCCCAAACCTTTCAATTTCCCCCTCAGTTCTATTTGTTTGAAACAAGCAGTGCACACTTGCTGTGGTCATGTGTGCTGTTCTATGCACACTAAAAATCCCATAGTCCATCTTGGAGTGAGCAAGAAAGTGGGGTGGCTACGTTCCTTCATACACCATAGAAAACGAAGGTAGCCACCCTCTGACAGGAAGTTGAATCACAGCAGCAGCAGAAGGTACTTTGAGTTGGTCAAGTTCGCCTTTTGGGAAAAATTATAAATGTGCATTTATTATTTGTTGCTGCAGGAGCTTGCAAAGCATTGCACCAGTGATCAGTGGACTGTGGGTGCAATGTCACTCTTTCATCAAGCTCTACAGCTCTCAGCCTGTACCTCTGTATAGGCTGTCAGTTTGAAAGCTGCAGGGCATGTGCATGAACTACAAAAGGTGCTCAACAGCGCCTTCGCTGTTCATTGAGAACTACAAACCATGGCAGACAGGACTAGTAGTTCTCTCATTCACAGATTACTGTGAATGAATGACAGGGCTATGCGGATGGAGCCCATCACAGCCACACTGTTTGTAAAGTGGTTGTAAGCCTCATACATGTAATATGAACAAAGCATATCCCTCTATAGTGCGTGCGTGTGTGCCTTAGTCTAGAGCAAGTGTCATCTGTCTGCTGCCCTGTTGCTTTGCTATCAGCATGAGTCACTTCTGACAAGTTTTCCTGACACCAAGAGAAAAATGGTGACGGGGAGGGCATAACCTGTGATTGACAGCCTCAGCTCTGTATCTGTGTGCAGGGAGGTGTGTCCCTTCCCTCCAATCAGCTCTCAGAGCTCTCTTCACTGATATAACTTTAACTCTTCACCCCCTGCTTTTCAAACCTGTGTAAATTATGCACTTTGAATGGATGTAGAAGACAGACTGCTGCAGATAAACAGGTACAACTTATGTAGCGGGATTTGTTTCATTTCTGTGCATCACCTGAGGCCAGCCACTTCACTGAGTATATGGAAAGGTTTATAACCACTTTAAAATGGTTGTAAAGGCTGAAGGTTTTTTACCTTCATGCATTCTGTGCATGAAGGCAAAAAAACCTTCTGTGTGCAGAGAATGCTCCCAGCCCCCTCAATACTTACCTAAGCCCCACTGAGATCCAGCGATGTGAATGACAGCCTCAGCTGTCCCGGGTCTCTGGCTGCTCAGTGGCTGAGAAAGCAAGCGGGAGCCATTGGCTCCTGTTGCTGTCAATCACAGCCAGTCAGCCAATGAGAAGAGAGAAGTGGGGCCAAGCTGCGGCTCCGCGTTTGAATGGATACACAGAGCAGCGGGTGTCCCCATAGCAAGCTACTTACTGTAGAGGCACTCGACAGACAGGATGAGCCAAGAGAGCCTGTGGGGGACCCCAGAAGAGGAGGTTCCACCCTGCACACAGTAAGTAAGTATAGACAGGTTTATTATTATTTTAAAAAAAGTAAACCTTTAGAATTGCTTTAAGGCAAATCCTCTCCTAAGATTTCCTTGCCATTTCGGTTTTGGTGGCAACTTCAAATTTTAGATTCTCCTTGAAAAAGGTCACCAGAATGAATAGAGAGTGAATCTCCAAAGCAAGGACACAGACAGCAATACAAACTGGAACTTCTCCACACTCTCCAAAAATGATTAAAAGGTTTTGGCATTAGATCCAGTTTAATTTTCCACATGTTATGAATTCTGGAAATGAAGCTTACAATGGAAGTGTCTGCTCTGTAAGTGGATTTACAGAAGGAGAGATCAGAACCTGAATTTCCATTGTTCACCGTTGGCCCAAAGAAGAGGCAAAAGGTAGAACAGCAGCACCGGCTCTGTAGAGCTGCAGCTTATGTCAAGTGTTGTCACCCTTCCCATGACATGCATTTATTGGTTGCCAACCCTCCAGAAATGTACAGAGAACATTTAAAAAGAATAGATGATTGAGGCTGTCCATTAATTCATTTGAAGCATTTTTGAATATTCCAAAACACTGGAAAGCTTGATACCAACCAACTTGACCATTGTTTGCACCAAGTGTTCGTGTTTGTATATAATATCACGATGGAAAGGTTACTAGTAGGGAATCATCATTGTAGGTTAAATGGATATAAAATACATAGACAATTTTGGTATGGGCAACCCCAACAGTCCAGGGGAGATTGGGACATAAGAGTATGAATACCACTTTCTAAATCTATAGATGCACTTTCTATATATGTGTTTCAGCTATACATTTAGGCCCCATGCACATTGGCTTAAAAAAAACAGCAGCTCTCTTGGCAGAAAAAAAAATGCTAGATTTAAATCGTTTTTTGTTTTTTTTTAATTTGCCTCTAAAACGCAGAGCTTAAAACACGCCTCTAGACTACCTAATGTGCATGGACACATAGGATAACATTAGTTGCTTCTACAGGCAGAACCCTAAACTCCTCTAGGAGCAGTGTTTTTTAAGGCAGTGTGCATGGAACCTTAGAACACCTCTGTCAGTTTTTTACTGCTGTCTGTGCTCCCTTGGGGAGATTCACCCCTCTTTCCCCTGTGTACCATTATCACCAAAAGTGAAAGAAAATCCAAAATTGTGGTTTGTCCCCAGAACAGAAATCGAGGGGGAAGTCTTTCAATTGAGACACCAGTTCTGGTGACAACAGAACTTGGAAGGAATTTCTTCTCGCTTCCTGTTTTGGCTATGGGACAGTAAGTGAAGCAAAATTTCCCCAATGAGACACAGATGGCGAAAAAAAAAAAAAGTTGACAGGGGGTATAATCCTATCTTACTGTATACAACATAAAAAAGTCTTCAAGTCTACTTAAAAAAACGAGTAGACATATGTCACTGAATCTACAGTTCTGATGTATGCTTAAAGATATTATTCACATTAATGCTATGTTCAGGCCAAGTAGGGCAAAATCATATTAAATGAGTATCCTGCTGCTGGTAAAATTATATCAATCCACCTGGTTAGTTTAAAGGAAGAACCTAGTCCTTCAAGAGAAGTGCTGCTCACAGTGAAACAAACCTATCCAATAAGGTATAGTGCAAAGTGCATCAGCCCACAGCAACCAATCAAAATTCATTGTTGAGGGATAGGACTCCATCATTTATTGGTTAGCTATGGGTATTTTGTATTTTTTTTCTAACTTCAGCTTGCTTGTTGAATATTCTGTTATGGGAACATGTTAGAACAGCTAGACTACCACTGAGATTTCCATGGTGTTGGGCACTGCTGTGTGTTTTCACTGCAACACGAGGAAAACAAGTTGGAGTTTTTACAGGGAACTGGCAGAAAATCCACTTGAATGTTCTCTTGTAATACAAAGTCATATCGACAGAATGATGTCCTGAAAAACAGAAAAACACAAAGATAAAACAAACTTGCTCGTTTGCCTTGAATGAGAAGTTCAGGTTTTCTTTAAAACAGAAATAAAAACTGTATCTGAACACCACAATCTGAAAATGCTATTCAATTCATAGTTATATACAGTAGTTACATAGTTAGTCTGGCTGAAAAAAGACAAAAGTCCATCTAGTTCAACCATAAAAAAAAAAAGCTACAATCCTACCGACAGCTGATCCAGAGGAAGGCAAGAAACCCAGCAAAGCATGATCCAATTTTCTCCTGCAGGGGAATAAATTCCTTCCGGATCCCCCGAGAGGCAATTGGATATTTCCTGGATCAACTTTACCTATAAATGTTAGTATCCAGTTACATTCTGTGTATCTAGGAAATAATCCAGGCCTTTTTTAAAGCAATCTAATTAGCTGGCCAGAACCAACTCTTGTGGGAGTCTATTCCACATTTTCACAGCTCTTACTGTGAAGAAGCCTTTCCATATTTGGAGATTAAATCTCTTTTCCTACAGGTGTAAAGAGTGCCCCCTTGTCCTCTATGATGACCTCAGGGTGAATAACTCTACACCGAGTTCACTTTATGAACCACTGATATATTTATACATGTTGATCATATCCCCCCTTAATCTCCTCTTCTCGAGAGAGAGAGAATAAATTCAGTTCCTGTAATCTTTCCTCATAGCTGAGCTCCTCTATGCCTCTTATCAGTTTGGTTGCCCTTCTCTGTACTTTCTCCAGTTCCCCAATGTTGTTTTTGTGAATTGGTGCCCAAAACTGAACTGCATATTCCAGATGAGGTGTTACTAATGATTTGTACCGGGGGGTAAAATGATATCTCTCTCTCTGGAGTCTATACCTCTTTTAATACAAGAGAGGATTTTGCTCACTTTAGAAGCCGCAGCTTGGCATTGCATGCCATTATTAAGCTTGTGATCTACCAGAACCCCCAGATCCTTCTCCACCATTGATTCCCCCAGTTGTACCCTCCTAGTATGTATGATGCATGCATATTCTTAGCCCCCAAGTGCATAACCTTACATTTATCAACATTAAACCTCATTTGCCACATAGTTGCCCAATTAAACAGTGCATTGAGGTCGGCTTGTAAGTTGGAGACATCCTGTAAGGACGTTATTCCACTGCACAGCTTGGTGTCATCTGCAAAGACTGAAATGATGTTTTTAATCTCAGACCCAGAATTCATTTTTGATATTCAAAAGCAAACCCATCCATCCATGTATCCATGCTTTATTTTGCTGAGAATCACTTTGACTCTGAATCACTTAAGTAAGGGCAGATGATTCGTATAGCACCTACTTCCTGGAATCCATCTGCTCTTAGCTCAGACATGCAGGCAGGAGAGTGCACTTGGCTACGAAAGCCCCTCCTCCCCTCCTCCAGATGAAAGAAAAAAAATGCCAGTGAAGCCCGTGGGATGTATGAGATCACTTTGGTCTAGGCCAGAAAGAAGGAAGAAACTGAAGAAATGTAAAAAAGAAAATATAATATACATTCCCATATATTTACTAATGCTAGCAGCATAAGGATTAAACAGTTAATGTTGATTTAAGACCTGCCGCCTTTACACCAGGTTCACACCTAAGCGTTTTCCGCAGGGTTTGCAGAAAAGCACTACAGTCCATTTAACATGATTTCCTATGGGACACGTTCACATCTCTGCGTTTTCAACTGGTGCATTTCTTGGAAAGGGTCAGGGACTTTTTTAAACGCAAAAGTTGAGTTTTCTGTTTTTTAGACTTCATAGAAATGCTGCAGAAAAGCATGTAGTGCATTTTTGCTGTGTTTTAAATCTGCCTAGCTATAAGAAAAAAAAAAAAAAAGCTTCAAAAACGCATGTGCAAAAATGCAAAATGCACTGCACAAATGGGTGAAATGCAAGCTGAATAGGTGTCAACCTAGCCTTACTGGGCTCTCCTTTCTCAGTACCGGGTGTGGCTGGTGGCATCTGATGCACTGCACAGAGTGGAATTTCTGTTGTTCCCCCCAACACCCCCCCCCCCCACCCAACTACCCCAGTGATGTAAAAAACCGGAAGCAGCAAGGATTTCGTAATTTCCAGTCTTGGTTTGTTTGCTTACAAGCTGTTACCAGCCTGTAAAGCAACTGATCAAACCCATCTAAATGTGATCAGATGCTTTGGAGGAAAGAGGAGAGATCTGGGGTCTAATAGATCCCAGATCTCTCCATAAAGAGAACCTGTCATTGCCCATGTTATCTTAAGGGATGCGGTTTATCCCTTGTGATAGCAATTAAGTTGATTTAGAAAAAAAATTAAAAAAGGTGTAAAAAATAAATAAATGAAACTATCTAAAGCACCCCTGACGCGCCCCCCCCCCCCCCATGTTTACACGCAAATGTGAATATGTACACATATGTGGACATCAGAATAAGAGCAATTCTAGCACCAGACCTCCTGTGTAACTCCAAACTGGTAACCTGTAAAGGCTTTTCATATGTTGACTATGGAGATTTTTAGGTACCATAGTTTGCTGCCATTAAACAGGTGTATGCATTTTTAAAGCGTGTTAAGTATATATTTACTGTGCGTAAGATCATCTTTTTCCAAAAATTGGGTATTATATTGTGATTGTGTGCACTAAAATTCATTAGTGTATTTTTTTTCTGAAAATGTGTGCTTGATAAACTGCTATGCAAATATCATGCTACATAAAAATTGCAACAACCATTTCATTCTACAGGGCCTCTGTTTAAAAATATATATGTATAATGTTTGGGGCATCAAATTAATTTTCCAGCATAAAAATGCAGACTTTTTTTTACATGTATGAGAGAAATGTCAGAATTGGCCCAATTTTGAAATGGTTACGATATCAAGATGAAGGATTACACATGCTGTGGCAAAAATGTATACCTGCTGTCATGTTCAGCAAGCAGTACTGCTGCTAAAATGTAACTCAGTCAAAAGAATTCTCCCTCCCATTCTGTCATTATTTGAATTTGGCACAATTGTGTGTGGCTCTGCCTACAGAGCTGCATCATCCATTCACAGGAATCTCAATGGATCACAAGTGCAGATGTCACCATCACTCAGTCTATGGATACTTCCTTCAGCCCCATAGCTAGGTATGGATCGGAGGCATTGCCCTGTGATCCATTGGTTACCGTTGCAATGCTTTGCAGGCTCCAATGCAAAAACATAATAAATACACATTTTTTTTTAATTAATCAGTATGGGTGCATTTATTTATTTATTTTAATTTATTGTGCAAAGGGTGGAATATTCCTGTAGACTGCTTTAGTTAGAAAAAAAAATTATAGCTTATTTGGAAAATGATAGTGTTGCTGAACATAACACTCCGTAAATGCAAAAAAGTAAAAAAAGCAACAGCGGTCTCTTGTATCTTTTGTAGAAGGTTCATCACAACATGGTCCTATGAATGAATGTATTTAATATTAAACAAATTCATCACCTGTAAGGATCTGCTGTGGATCGGAGCCTCATTCTTAGAACTGGCAGCTTGTATTTTGGTCCTACCAAAGATCCTGTGGTAAATGTCACAAAGATTCTTGAAATCTGCCCAAAATCCTGATCAAACTTGGCTAGCAGGGTCGTTTCCTGATTTTTATCAAACAAGGCAGCATCCCTGGAAAACAGCAATACATGCAAACATTGAACATACATATTAAATGGAACTAATCAGAAACCTAAGCCCAAGATAGAAGCTTTACACCTCTGAGTCCTGGTCTGCATAGTAGTTCCGAACCAATGGGGATGATCCTATTTTGCTGTCACTTCCACACACACCTCCCCATAAATCTGGCTGTACAAAAAGCAACTTTCCTGCACAACATACTTTATTTTAAAAATCAAAGCAGCCAGGCGGAAACAGTTGAACAGTACCTGTACCCATACAGATGCCGACATTGTTCGGGTATGTTGACAGCTAATGGCTTTGGCTGTCAGACATAAATAAGGTACAGTGGGAGATTTGTCCATCCATGCAGTTCACAATGGATACAGCAATATGTTAGATTTTGTTTGTACAGCCTGTACTTTGTCCCATTGTTCCTATGTGTTTTGTAAGCCTAGTTATGGAGTCAGACAAGCCACCCCATGGCCTTCCAACAATGTAGCTAGCAAGAAAATGGCTGGTTGATAACCAGATGCTTGTCTCAGCTCCAAAAACTTGCCCTAGCCAAGCAGCAGCAAGCAGAATAGAGAGAGAGGATGAGCATATCATCCTCCCGTACCTCTACCTGACTCTTGATTCCACATGTCTCGGACAAGTGATGGGAGCAGAGACAAGCACCGCTTATCAACAGACCATCTCCTTGCTAGCTACGCTGGATGGCTGTGAGGGAAAGGGGATATGAGGGCACCAAGTTCAACCTTGTAGCTGAACTTACAAAGTACAGACATGGGACAAAGTACTACATATATGCTGTCCCTATGGAGGGGGGGCGGGTTGGAGCATGACAGACACTGAAAAAAAATTCAAGATTGAGAGAGAATTGTTCTTTAAAATGTGTCAAATGTAACAAAGTAGTATACACAATGAACTTAAAGACTTACTGGTCCAACTTTGACTCAGTTGTGTTTCCAGATGTAGATTCAACTTTGATGGTAATATAACCCCTCCTTTGATTAAGGTTTGACGTAATAAAATCCAAGTAATAATGAAACACTAAAAGAGGAAGACGCCAAAAATATTAATTATAAACAGCAGATTAGTTTTCCAGCTTTTTTCCCATCAGCAAGTATCCTATGAGTACAAAATGAACACATGTACGCTGCCTGTTCATCCACATTTTCTAACTGGGTACGGAGAGTTCAGTATGTCAAAATATACAGCAAGGTCAAAATGTTTTTTAGTCTTGGATAGACTAGAGAAAGCTTTGAAGTAGAAGCATAGTCAAATACTAACTACCCTGTAAAGGAAAGATGTCCATACTTACCTATGTTGAGGGTGATCCAGTCTGGTCACATGTTCTCTCTAATGGCCAGGTTTAAATGAAGAGGAAAGATCACCAACAATAGCTGCAGAGCCTCGCCATGGCGTCACCCAAAGACTTACTATGGGGAATCCGTTGTGGACTGTCTCTCCTCTACACTGCATGAACAGGTCCCAGAGCTGGCCTCAACTAGACCGGAGCTCCCTCAGAATAGGTAAGTATACAGATCTTTCATTTCACTGGATAGAATAGGCTTAGAATGGTGGTAGGAGCAAGTTTAAGCTTAGTTAGTATTTCATTAGAATTCCACTTTAACTCTTCAGATTTTTTATTTTTGGCCCATTGCGTGGGATTCACTCACTTCCTGATTTGAAATACAACAGGAAATTAGAGGAGAGATCTCCAAGGGAAGGGAAATGCACTCATAAAAAATTGTGATACAAAAAAGTTGATGATTCCCACGCCCCCAGTGACAGCTCAAAATTTTGTCTTTTCTCTCGGTGGTAATAGTTACTAGAACAAATACTGTGAGTGAATTTATCCAGTGGCGATTCAACAATATGACCTGACGGTGGTTCTAATGCTTCATTACTCTATCCAAAAAGAAATTACATTAGTTTAAGAGTAACTTCACTTTTTTGTTAAAATCTCTGCAATGTACATATATCACCCAGAGGGGGATGGGTTTTTTTTTTCTCAACAAGCTGTTTGTCTGTCCATGTGGAAAGGAATCTAATGAAAGTGCTTTCATAATTATCAATCAGCTGTTGCACTTGCAGTGTTCTAATGAGGAAAGTGTCAGGATCTGCATCCCTTTAGATGTGATTTCCTATTGGCAGTAGCTCACCAAAAATGATATATTTGTTGCAGGTGACGCCTGAAATCTGACTTTTCTGGGAAAATCAGTGAGCCAGTCAAACAAGAAGGAAAATCAGTGAGCCAGTCAAACAAGAAGAAAAATCACTGAGCCAGTCCAACAAGCAGAAAATGAAATTTTCAGGGGTGTTCTGTACACCATCTGTGTAAAATGCCATATTGCATCTTACAGAAAATTACAGCACTGCAGATTGAAAAAGGAAATGCAATTTTTAATAACATTCAATTACAATATGACTTGTGTCGCAGTTGTATAAGCAATGTTATTTTGCTTTTAATTTGCTATTTTTTCCCCACAAAAGTGGAGTTACCCTTTAAACCTAAGATGCCTATACACATTCCAGTCCTATTCAAAGATAAGATAATAGATTGCATCTATTTAAAAAAAAAGTTTAAAAAGCAGAACGCACACTCTATTTGCCTTTAGTAAATCAACCCCATTATATTCAGTTTTCTTTTTTTTTTTATTGCTTAATAATCTGCTTACATCTCAGATCCACAGAGTTGGCTGACTGGCATGGCTCATAAACATAGGTTTCCTTATCTTTGCATGGGCTGATAAATCCCAGTATTGTCTGTTTAATTTCTTCACCAGGACCCCGTCTTCTCTGCTGTAATTATATTTGTATGTTTACTGCATCTTAAATGCGTTTCCACAAAATCAAGGTCAAGTTGTGCACTTGTTCTCTTTGTTGTAAGAGAGACGAGGGCTTAGTCAATCCCTCGAGTGGCAGGGATAATTCTGTTTTGTACGCCCCTGCAGCACAGAAAAGATTAAAGATCACTGCGCAGCCGAGAGAACAAAGCAGCTGCGGGCCGCGACCACACAACAATATTTAAATAGGTCCCAGTGTGAGAAGAAGCCTGGGTGGAACGGCCCTAATTCGACTACAACAAAGAAGTAGGCCAAAAGAAGACAACCCCCCACACTGTACAGTCCTCTTCTCATCCTTATAATTCACAGTTCACATTATTCCGTCTGAAGCAATTAGCGTTCCAAGTAAATGTCGCCAACTTCCCCAAGCTACTATTATCTCCCTCTGACAGCTTTTTATTTTATGCAAATTCAATTTCACACTCACTGCAAAACGGTTTCACCGACGCCGTATCAAAATAAGCCTTCGTCACTGGAGGATTCTTCGCCACCAGATAATCTCTCCACTTGTCAGCGTAAAAACCTGTAACGCACACGCAGTGTCATTAGTGCCCAACCGCCACACAGGCTCATAATTTATAATCAGCACATTTTAGGCCCCGGCAATTATATAAAGTAATTAGGAGGGACCCGGAGTGGGTTACACAATGACAATGAATTTTAGCCATCGCCTGCACACAAAAAAAAAAAATGAAGAGTAATCTAGCATGAAATTATATTTATTGTATTATATGTCTTAAATGGCATTGTTTCTCGCTATTGGGTGGGTGCAGGTGGTTTTAGCTATGTGGATGTGCCATGCGCTTTTGTGATAATAAAGACATCTTTGAACAATGGTAATTCAGACCGACAATCACAATCAACATTGCAGTCCAGCATGATGCTTTGAGTGTTCACAACATATCTACAGGATGCATACAATTTCTGGGACAATTACTCACTGCACAAAGTGTATTCTAATTATGTCATTCAGATTACCATATGATACATGCATATTGGGGGTATTTACTAAAATGCGGAGTAAAAAATGTGGTGCAACTCTACAAAGAAACCAATCGGCTTCCAGGTTTTATTACCAAAGCTTAACTGAACAAGCTGAAGTTAGAAGCTGATTGGCTACCATGCACAGCTGCACCAGATTCTGAGTGCTCCAGTTTTACTCATGCCCCGTACACATAAGAAAATTGTACGAAACATTTTGCGGAACCACTGATCAAACTATTTTCTCTTCGTTGATGAGCAGGATGTTTTAACCAATAACAATATTGTGAATGAAAAAATCCAGTTGAACAACAGTGAAAAATGCTGTTGTTTCGCATACGAACGACCGATTTTCTATGCGTTGGTATGAAGGTCGTACGAAAAAAATCTATCAAGCACTATCACGCATGAGCGGAAAAACGGAAGATGACCGGGATGTTTATGTCCAAGGAATCTTCATAAACACAAACGAAAAATCCAAATGTTAAAAGTATATTAGCCTAATGAGATAATGAAACCAGAATTCTGCATATTCTATTTTTATGTATCACTATTTATGTACAGTATATAGGTAATGTAATAAACTATATTATACTCATTGCTGTTAATTGTTGTGTATATCGCTCGTTCTGGCCAGAAGGGTGTGGCTACAAGGTCACAGGCACACTGCATCACTCCCACTTGTACAGAAGACATCAACACTACATATTGTCTGACAAACGATTTTTTTTTTTAGATTGTGTTAATGTGGGCCACAATTTCAACCAATGAACAAACGCCTCTCAGTCGACGGATGACCGATCGGTCGATTTTCTAATCGTGTATTTCCACCTTAAATCTGCCCCTTTGAATGTATTAGGCTCCCTTCACATGAGCGGGAGGGTAAAAACATGCAGTTGATCCGCCCCCACCTGCAAGCAGTCATGATGCTGCTTGGATGAGTAGACATTGCCGCGATCTTGATGCTTTGCATTGTGGTGTGACAATTTTAGCATTACATGCTACGTTTGAGAGGCAATACCACCTATTAAACTTTACCTAATACTGGACAGCCCAGGGGTCCATATGCTGTGCAATCCACACACTTCCCAGTGCGGTAATCTTTGTAACTGTCACAAGGAAATGTAACAACACTGCAAGACTCATTTAAAGATGCAATATACAAAAAAACAGAGCGCTGGTGATCACACTTGAAATATTCAGAGCCTGCAGGAAAGAACAAATGAAAAAAAATGACAAGCAAGTAATCAAAACATACATGGCACATTTTCCTCATTTAATTGAAACCAGTTTCTGATAATAGATACAATTTATTGAACCCTCTGAGGCCAACTTGAGAAAGGCAAAGCTTTTAAAGAGTGTTCCGACTGTCAATCCCCATCAACACATGTTCCCAGCTTTACAGTAAGAACCCTAAAAACAACAGTCCACCTAAACTGATAGATGCCTGAGAGCAGGAAACCACCAATTGTTTCATTAGATTTCTCCAGGATTTCTCCTGTAGACTTCTCCAGGTCCTCCCCCATCCTCTGGAACTCACTACCCCCATCAGACTGTCACCGTCCCTCCTCACCTTCAGGGGCGCTCCCTGAAAACCCACCTCTTCAGGGAAGCCTACCCCAAACACCTAACAGCCGCTGCCCTTCCCTCCTCCTACCACTTCATCCCCCACAGCCGCTTCCTCCGGTGCCTCTACCCCCTCCCTCCTAGATTGCCTCGAAAGAGCAGGAAACTAACCAATGGTACTGTTTGATGTTACTGTTCTGTTTCATGTATTGTCCCCCCCCATTGTACAGCGCTGAGCAAACCCTTTGGCGCTATATAAACACGATAAATAAATAAATAATAAATAAATTAGATCACTCCTGTAGATAGAACTCCCAGGCAGGGGCGTATTTACTGCAAGACAAATCAGGCCTTTACTTATGGCGGCATTTATCAGGAAGAAGGGACACACATGGCATGGGGACCAGGTGGGCTGCTTGATGGTGTATGCACAGCCCGACTCTACTGTAGTTCCCGAGGATGTCCGGAGCTGTGAAGGTGAGTGTCTCTCTATCGCTGGGGGGAGGTGTCGGTTCCACGTATTTGCTTGAACTCTAGGTTTACAAAATACCTTTAATCTATTCATATCAGCTGTTTCATATACATATGGCAGATTTACCTGATAATATTGTTTTTGGACATCCTGGTTGGTCTGTTCCTCCATTTGGGTAGAAATCAATATTTCCTAAGCTCTCCTTATAGCCAAGACCTTAATGACAAATTGAATACATAATACATGGTTACACCAAAGGCTACACTAATATGTAAAACATACACATGACCTAAACATGTAATGTTTAGTTTCAGCAGACCATGAGCAATAAGGCCACATCTTTATTCAGGTTAAGAATAAGTGAATGTATATTGTGATCACAGATGCAGACAATGTTACCATTTTATTACTATTATCATTATATAGCCTATACAATTTTGCAACACTTTACAGAGATTACCATTGAGATCAGTCTCTTCCCTTGTGCATCTTCATATACACTAATACCTCTACCACTTGCATATTAAACATAGACATAGGCACCTGAAGACAAAGAAGGGACCCGTACAAACAAGTATTATATACAAAACTGTTATAAAACAGAAAAACAAACATGTTGTTCCTGCTCAACTCAAACTCAAGACCATAGTGTTGTTACGGGAGCAGCCTCCTAAAAGGCCACCAAGACCGTACCAACCTTGTAAATCCTACTGCTAAATGAATGTGTCCTAAGCCAGTGTTCCTAAAACCCTTGCTTGAATCCCACCAAGTGTCCATGTGCTGTACGTGTTCACACAGCTAGTTATATAGCATGGCTGAGACACAAAATATTCCATACCTACAAAGATAACATGACTTGAGGGCAGGTTTAGTACAGGTTTTGATTCAGGTAGCTACTCCACCAACTATTTGTAGGTTCAGAAAGGAATTTGTTTCAACCTTAGAAGGTTAACAGAAGGCACTCGTGGGAAGTGGGTTGGGTTGTTTTTCCTTCCTTGCTGGGATCTGTTATAGACTGAAAATGACAGACATGTATCAGACATGGTCCTTGCTTTACCTCAGAAGAAGTGCGTGCGCACGAAACGCGTCAGCAGGAGCCTGTGGACGTCGTTGACACTACGCCGTCGGTGCCATGTGGAGGCCCGGCGGCCACCTTTAATTTTAAGAGGGTCAGTGGGTCACTTTCACTTGCCACCTGATTACATGTTTTTTACTTGGTTTTTTTAAATAAATTGAAGTAATATACTACACTATGAGTATCTCTCTGTGTTCTCTGTGAGGGGTCTCTCTCCCAATTTCACAGCCACAGAGTGATTTCAATCCCAGCCTTGGTTCCATTGAAGAGGAATATCCTATCCTGGGAGCGTCCTGGCCTGCAGGATTTCGCTTTTCCACAAGAGGCGTTATCATCCATTTCAGCACATATCCATTTTCTGACCAGAGGGAGAGAGGGGAATCTCCAGGATTTCTTACACACATGCGTACTTCAAATGCACTTCTGGTTAGTTTGCATTCTTTCCATTGACACTGGGAATTAATGAGCACCTTTCCAGGACTATTATTGTGTTGATTTGCATGATTTGATAATTTTACAGCGCTGCATTTTATATGCATATAGACATGTATCATTGTTTTTCAAACTAGTAATGTATGGAACTAATCTTTGGTAAGTGTCTGCATAGATCATTGAGCTTTGATGTGATTAAATCTACAGGGATTTAAAATGCTGGGCAATAGTCTTTTTATTCCGCTTCTAGGACATTATATGATCTTTCAGTAGTAAAGAAGAATGTAATACCCATGTCAGGAACATGCAGGACAGTCAGAATACTTGCTGATGGCTCTGTAATACCTGGACTGAACCCTGCTTTTTGATGTTCGCTAGCAGGTGTCGCAAACGCGTGCATCAGAGATGGACGCGGTTCAACCATTTTGGCTTCAACCTCCATCTTGGTGAAGAGATTTAACCGTCCTGAAATATCTTTTTCCTTCATCCTCCCCCTTCCTCTCTGTTCAGCCACCGTGACACCTGGTTGTGGGTCAATGGCAGGCTAGAGCAGCAGGGAGCCCAGAGCTACAAAGCCCCCCTCAGGAGAGCTGGAGTCCCACTGTCCTGAGAACCTGTGTAATTTCACGTCTCGTAAAAAGATAACCGAGCCTTCCCCAGAGTTCAAGGCATTCCCAAGAAGCCTGCACCAGATAACAATTTTTAAAAGATACATTTTTCCCCTATGTTTCATATCTTGGAATATCAGAGACTTACATAAAAACCAGACATCCCGTCAGATTGGCTAGGAGCAGGCGAACAGTTTGATGGGTCATTCGAATTATCTCGGACCATCAGGGCAGCCAAAACATAGAACTCGTGAACCGTGCAACATATAATTTCATAATTCATATCTAGATAATCCTCAGACTTGTCTGCATAATAAAATACCTGCGGGTGGAATGTCACTTGTGCAGCTGGAAAGTTATGGACCAGAATATGAATTATGAAAGATGTTGGCTCCAGTTTAGGGTTCCGCCTGACGATCTCTCTCTCAACAGGGGATTGGTCTTTTTACTTCATCACCACCCCCTGCTGGGAAACTTTAAAGCAGGCTGTCAAGCCTTAGGGGGAGAGTTGAAGAATTCTCCCATTTTTCCATCTTAACATAGGGAGATCAAAGCACCCTCCTGCTCTGACTTGGATCTGCTAACCCCAGGACTTTGGCAAGTACTTTAACCCTTTCACCTCTCTCTGATATCTCTTTACTGTGCTATGGTTCTCTGTATGTATATATATATATATATATATATATATATATATATATCTTAGTTACATGTTCTCTGTAAATATTTTATTGCACCTGTTTGACCCTTTTAGTAATAAATCTCTCTTTCTGAAAGTGTTGAACTGTTTCTATAGTTCTTAATTGCAATTTACGAATCCCTGCCTTTGAGGAGACGCTACTGTTTGTTTAAACCTCTGTATAACCGGCCTGCGGACCATTTTATACAGACGATTATTTAGTCATTATAGTGTTATAACTGATAACGCGAGTTTCCTCTTTCTCTGTACAAAAAGGAGGTGGTGGCAGTGTGCAGAGTTAGTTGTGTAATTACCCGACCCAGTAACAATCGCTCAGGTTGCAGGTACATACAGTAGATTGTAGTCAGTTAGCTGAAAAATCTTTGTGAAGGGTGCAGCTGGGCGCGGTATTGTTATGCATGTCGCATCGCGGTTTGGATCGGCCAGTCCTTCGGTCACGAGTTTGGTGAGAAGGTCTGGGGTCTGGGGTGTGACAGCAGGGGTCTGCCTACTACTAGTACAGCTTAAAGTGGAACTTCACCTAAAAACAAAAAAGTTCCACTTATCTCCCCTCACCCCCATATTTGGAATTGCATTCAGAGTGGAAGTTTCCCCCCCACCCCTTCCCTCATCCACAACCTCCTGGGACATGTTAAAGGTTCCAGGAGACTGCACAGTGGGGAGTCGGCTGTGAAGCCCCAAGGAGTCACAGCTGGCTTCCTACAGTTAACATGGAGGTGCCAGGGACCCGAAGACCAGCTAAGAACAGGCCCAGTTGAGGACAGTGCTGCATCCCTGGAGAAGTACAGTAAGTGTCTGTTTATGAAAAGTCAGCAGACATCTGACTATAGCCTCTGACATTTTTAACCACTTACCCTCCTGAAGATTTACCCCCCTTCCTGACCAGGCCATTTTTTGCGTTACGGCGCTGCATTACTTTAACTTACAGACAATTGTGTGGTCATGAAACGCTGCACCCAAATGAAATTTACGTCCTTTTTTTCCCACAAATAGAGCTTTTTTTCAGTGGTATTTAATTGCCGGTGCGTTTTTTTTAGTTTTTGCACCATAGGAAAAAAAAATACTAACAATTTTGAGAAAAACATTTTTTTTTTACTTTCTGCTATTTTAAACATGTCCAGTAAAAAAAATGTAAAAATTCAAATTTTGTCATAAATTTAGGCCAAAATGTATTCTGCTACATGTCATTGCTAAAAAAATTCCAATACATATAAATTAATTGGTTTACGTGACAGTTATAGCGTTTACAAATGGCGGTATGGATACTGGAATCTTTTTTTTTTTTTAACTAATAATGGCGGCGATCAGTGACTTATAGCGGGACTGCAGCAGGCATTCTGACACTGGGGGGGGGAACTGACTTGGTGTCACTGACATCCTCAGTGACACCAATACAGTGATTAGTGCTAAAGAAAAGCACTGACATTGTACTAATGGCGCTGGGCAGGAAGGGGTTAATAGAGGAGATCAAAGGGTTAACTATGTGCTGGGAGTGTTTTACTGGGGGGCGGTGTGCTGGTGCTTCACTGTAATTACACTGCTCTAGATGCCGGTGCTGTGCACAGCCATCCAGAGCCGACAGTGAGGAGGACTGTTCGTAAACAAAGCAGCCCTCCTCCCTGTCGGAGATCCTAGGTAATCTCCGGGTGCCAGCGGGTAATCACCGGCCAGGACCCGGTGATTGACAATTGCGGATGGCAGCGCGGGTAGTGCTCACATGCGCCCCCTACCCAGAAGTGCAAAATTACGTATATATACACGTGATTTCGCGCACCCCTGCTGCCCTGTAGCAGTATATCTTCTATAGGGTGGCGGGGATGTGGTTAACTAGAGTAAGGGTGAGAAATAAATCCTGTCAGTGTTTTACCATTTTTGTCTTATTGGGGAAATTTCCCTTAACTCCCTGTCCCATATCCACAACAGGAAGTGAGATAAAATCCCTACTAAGTGAATTTTTCCCTGGTTTTCGCCAGGGTCACCAGAACTAGAGTCTCCACTGGTATATTCCTGTTCTGGTGAAAACCCAAATTTAGTGATTTATTTTTCTTTAACTCTTGGCAATAACCTTAAAACAGGATAAATAGAGGGTGAATTTACCTAAAGGAGTCCTCTACACGGATAACACACACAGCAATAAAAACCAGTTAGATGTTCTAACCCCTCTCCACTCTATTAAAATCTTCAATAGTTTTGCCTTTAGTAATACTTTAATTAGTTACCACACATAGCTGGCTTCTGGAAGGCTATTTAGCTCCTCATCACTTCATTCTTATTGCCTTACCATTCTACCTGTGTGACTACATCTACTGTGTACATAAATCAGCCTGTTCCTAAATAACCGCCGTGTAGCACTACCTTTTTGAGAGCCACTGGTTTTGGGTCCCCTTTTACTTCCTGCACAGCC